AATTATTGATCAGATGACACTATGAAACTACCATATTTAATTGATAGCTTAAAGGTACTGAATAAAAATCCAAATGGGGTCCTCCAAATTTTATGCATGGTATTTATTTAACAGAATTCATACAGAAAAATGCATTATAAAATTAGGTAAGCTACTGGTGTAAGCTTTTTCTGTACAATAAAGTTAGTCGGAGTTTCTTTCTTCAGCGCTGTCTGAATCTGAATCTTCATCACTCTCAAAGTTGATTATTAAAGGTTCGATGTCTGGTCGATCAAAAATTCGTTCTCTTTCATACCATTTAAAAATTTCTTTCTCAGTATGTCGAACACTATTTTTCCACATGTCTGGGGTAACCGTTTGTAGAGCCTCGTTCCACATATCCAAACAGTCTTTTTCACTGTTACCATCTCTACCAATATGTCTGTTATAGTAACCTTTTGCTATGCCCCAAATTAACTCAATAGGGTTAAATATACAATGGTAAGGAGGCAGACGAAGAACTTTGTGCCCATGTTGTTCCGCCAATTCATCAATCACGTATATTTCAGGTGGTTTGTTTCTAAAAAAGCAGTTATTTTAAGAATAGGAATAAACAAAAGAAATATAAACTGTCGACCAAAATATATATAATTAAGAAGCATTATGTACCGAGCAACAATACTCAATAGCTCTGTTTTAAACATTGTGTTTAAAAATGGTATGTTTTGATTTGTCAACCAGTCTTGGATATTTTTTTTTTGTCCATGCATTGTTGGGCACTTTGTTCAATATCATGCTGTGATAAGGGGCGTTATCCAGTATAATCATAGATGGACTCTCCAATTTTTCTAATAACTAATGTTGAAACCATTTCAAAAAATTGTCCTGGTTCATCTCTCCATGGTAATCGCTCAATTTTGTTTTCGAAGAAAATATCGCTTCACTACCCTCAATAAACCCATTTTCATTTCCAGCACGTAATATAATGTATCTAAAATATATTAGTTTTAAATTTTATAGTGCAAATTGTGTAAAAGTACATACCTTTTACCATCTGTTTTAATAGCTTTCACGCTTTTTTGGTTTCCATTTTGCCAAGAGCGACCTATGGTCCCATTTTGAAATATCCAAGTTTCATCGAGGAAGACAAACTGGTATAAGGCCTCAACCTTGGCTTGATTGTATTGCCTTAGAAATTCCACCCTTTTCAAAGCTATACTTGGTAGTTCCATGAGCCCTCGTCGCGGATTGTCCTTAAGCCACTTAAATCCAAGATCTCTAAGCAACCGCCTTAAAGACGTGGCACTACCATCAAATAATGCCCTATCTCTTAATCGAGACCATAAAGTTTGTATCGTAACTTGTTCTTCTGAAACCATGTGTAATATGACATTATAATTTAGTTAACAAATTAATGCAAATTTCTGATAAGTTATTATAATAAGATCTTACTTTTGTGATACATATTATAGATCACTTCTCGAATGGCACTTGTATCCAATGTCGCTGTGTTGGTTACACGTTTAATATAACTCCGCTTTTTCTTGGGCGATTCTAAATTTGCATCACTTTTCACACCCTCGGAAATACGACTAACTGTCCTTAAACTAATTTTTAAAGCAGCAGCAACACGCTACAAAAAATGAAATAAAATTTCACTATTATTAATATACTTTACATATAATTATTACTAACCTACCTCTTGAACAGCATTTAAAGGCAATAAAGGCCCGTTGTTGTCCCTTTCTTGCTCAAAGTAGTGCATTAACGAGGCCACGAGTTCCTTACACCGACTATTTAACTGTTTGGGCATCTTTATATACCAAAATTGCCTTTATCTACTCGTAAAATGAATAATTTTGTTTTGAAACAAACAGTTGTTGATTTACAGTATGCGGGGCCAAAGGATTTATAAAGATTTGAAATGCCACAAATTGATTCAGTGTCAAAATTAATACAAATGTCAGTTCCCAGTTTAAATAAGTTTCAAGGTGACAATGTGTCAACGCTGCGAAATCGGTTTAGTGCGTTTACATGTCGATAAGTGATTGGAGCGTTTGCAAAACACTTTATTTCGCATAATGCGTCTAAATTTATCAGAAAGCAACTTATGTGATATTTTAATAACAATGTTTATATGACTATTAACCATAATAAGAGAGTATTTTACAATTTATATATCACATTAATATGAAACTGCAATAGAGCAATTGTTTGTGATAGAAACCTAGGCATTAGGTCGGGGAATTTTTATCGTGATGACGTGCACGCCACTTTGTTTGGCGTTGACTATATGTGAATTTTCTTGAAAAGATTCATTTTGTGATTTTATAGTATTTATTAGCTAGTCTTCTGCATATTCTTGACAAAATCCAATAACTTTGATTTGTGGTTTTTTACTTATCTCTGAAGTTTTCACTGTATATGTTTCTGGCATTTTTGATTTTATTTCATTATGTAGCTTCACGTTATCATCTTTTGTTTTACATTGGATTTTCACCCCACCATCTTTCAATTCATAAACTTTTTCAATAGCAATTTTCAAACTGGTAGGATTCACAAATTTTGCGATGTCTTTCTTTGTGTTATTACACTCTTGTTGGTTATTAGGCTTAACAATGACTGTATTTGTGGGTTTTAATACTGGTGATTGTTTTTTTGCTGTACATGTTTGTAATGGTACGCATTGCTGCTTATATTCTACCATTTTTGTAGGCGAATTAACGGTTGAAGGCCCTGAAGCTTTAACCATATTAGCGTAAGTTGTAATTGCTTCTTGTGACGGCTGTTGCATTTTCCCAATTTTTTTGTTTAATTGGTCTATCTTTTCGTACAATTCTTTTATTAATTTCTCTTGAATCGAAATGGTATAATCTTTTAGTTTCAAAACTTCCTCTGTACAAAATCCCTTTTCACTCAGTGAGACCACACTTTCCACTTCCTCACTAGCTCCATCCTTTTTAGAGTTTTCCTCCATATTCAAACTAAAAATTCAGGAATCTCCTAAAAACCTTTTTTAGCTTGACCTAATTTTTGACATTAGAAGTCAAAAAAGTATTTCCAGAATTAATTTTGTGCAATCTCTTCCGTGTGGGATCTGCAGCTGCAAACAGGTGTGGCGATATATATTTCGTTAATCTTCCCGGTGATCCTTGGTTGATATTTTTATGTGTGGTCTTTACCAATATTTCGTGTCTGTGTTGGAGCGAATAAAAATAGCAAGTGTAGTAGTTAGTAGTTAGTACCGAACCAGCAGGAGACAACCAATGATACGAACGCTTAGAATTCGAAAACAAGATCCATTTTTCGTCGCAGGTTAATAACCGATTAAGAAATGGTTCATTAGCGTTGCATGAAATGTTTGATGAACAAATGGTAAGACAACTTAATTTGTTATCATTTGTCAGTTCATGTGGGACCCATTTGCTTAACTTCCACGTGTTCCCTAGCTGACGAAGATGCAAACGAATAGTTTTAGGACTCACTCTGAACATTTTTGCAAGTTCTTGGCACGTTGTCCTGGTATTTGCGTCCACAACCTGTCGAAGATCCTCGTTGTTCATGATTTTTGGTCTCCCTGAGCGCGGTTCATCGCTCAAACTAAGATCTCCCAAAGAAAATTTTTTGAACCACTTCTGTGCTGTTCCATCACTAACGGCATCATCTCCGAATGCGGTACATACTTTTCGCGCCGTCGCTGCAGCTTTTGTACCAAGTTTGTACTCATACAGTAAACAACTTCGATTACTGTTTTATTCGTCGCCATTTTCAATTATTATAATTAGGTAACTAAAAATTTTCAGCAACTTTTTATGTGTGTGAGAAAAGAAGGATTCATACTAAAGTGACAACAGGTAACAAACAATCGCTATCATTCAACAACATCCATGGCAATGTGCGATATACAGCAACCCCACGAACTTATTTGGTTACCTGATAGTATATGAAAGAGTGAATCCAACATTCTGGTTTTCACACATTTTCAATCAGTCTAAATTAAAACGAGATGATGACTACAGAAAATTCTTGATGAAAAAAAATTAAAATGATGAAACAATATACCAAATCAAAAAATGAGTGTGTAGTAGTTCTCAGGAGGGAAAAGAAAAAATACTATGAAAATAATCGATAGCAATAAAAATGATGTGGAAAACATTAAAGAATGTTTCTCCAAACAGAAAGACTGAATTATCTCAAATGGATATATAGATATTTTATGGATTTAGTGTTGGGGATTTACGGGTTTTTTTAGTTGGCAGGTTTTACTTCAAAAAATACAGGGTGGTCAATATATAACTGACTGATTTAAATTGCGGGCCATCTTTGAAACACGCACTTCAGTAGGTGGCGGTGTTTAAAACACATGTGTCCAATTCATTGTATATTGTTAAAACGTTTTACAATACTGAGTCGATTGTTTGCAGCGATTCGGAAGCTACGACAAGATTTCGATTGAAATAATGTGCCCAGTGTCAACACCATTCAGAAATTTGAACAAACAGGTGAAGTTAAAGACTTGCCAAGGTCGTGTTCAAACTGTTCGCACTCGGGGAAATATCGAGAGATTTCGTGAAAGTGTAGTGGAGCACTCTGAGACATCGCTCTCAAGAATTGGGTATTCGTCGCACATCATTATGCACTATTTTAAAAAAGAAACTTCCATTTGCGGTCATACAAAATTCAGTTAACCCAACAACAGCCTAGTGACCATGAGAGTCGCCGACAATGCAATATTGCAGCTTAGTACAAAAAAAAAGATTTTTACCGACAACTGATAATGAGCGATGAAGGTCACTTCGATATGAACGGATTTGTTAATAAGCAGAGCTGCCGTATCTGGTCATTAGAAAACCCTCGTGTCATCCATCAACGACCACTAGATCCTCGTGAAATCCCAGTTTGGTGCGGTGTTTGGTATGGAGGTGTCATTGGACCTTACTGCTTTGAAGACGCTGCACGTAATTCTCATATCGAAAATTAAAAAAAAAACACTTGAGACTAGATTCAAGAAAGTCGCTGACCTTGCAGTATGACGTCAGGTCCTCCAGCAGCAGATCCTCCTTGACCGATAACGTAGTAGATGGTGTAGTTCAAGAAACCGCCGTAAGAGGTCAGTTTCTTTCCTAGATAGTCTGGTGGTGCGGCAAAGTACGCTGGTGCTTGGGACACATTGTAGTAAGAGAAGTCGACACCAATTACGTCAGAGATATCGTCTATATCCTCTATGGTCAGGTTCAAATGAGTGACGTTTAGATGTTCTGTTGCATTTAAGGAAACCTAGAACAACAATGGATTGTTACTATTTACCCTTACGAGTTCTATACTTTAACAATGCTATACGGCTAAAACCCCCCTGACACGAGTACCAGTTTCTTTGCTCAGTAGCATGGTTAAGTAAGTACTAACATCGCGTAGCTTCAAAAATTAAGCATATGTGGCTTCATTTAGCGGCCAGACAAACATGGAGGATTATAAAATATGCGTGAGTACGATTCAATAATAAAGGAACCTGAGATATAGAAAAAATGGGCACAAGGCGACCTAACCAATAGTCTATAGCGCCAGCTACCAACAAACTTTAAGGATCGACTATTAGAGGAAAATTCAATCCGAGCTATGCCACTGTGCCTTTGTTCTTTCAAGATGTTTGATGCCCCAACTGCCGGCGTTCAAGTAAAACAAACCGTATGGGTATCTCCAATAGATTTGTAGCTGCTCCACGCCCTTTCGTGGACACATGCCACGGTACCAACGTGCGAGAACGGGAATCTGTAGACGATTTTTTGCATGAGCATAGCGGCAACAGCGAATATGCTTAGTAAACAACAGAGGTAGGAAAAATGGGCGCCGGCGGGATTCGAACCCGCATCTCCTTCACTGCAATTTGCCTCTAAAGTTGACGCTGTAGACCAATTGGTTGAGTCGGCTCCATGGAATGGAGAAGTGCGGGTTCGAATCCCAACGGCGCCTTTTTGTCCTATCCCTCAAGTTGTTGGTTACTAAACATATTGACTCTTACGGATGCGCCAATTCATAAAATCGCATGGTGATACCGTGGCATGTGACCACGAGACGGCGTGATGGAACTAGAAAGCGATTAGTTGTATCTTATCAATCCGGTTTGTTTCACTTGACCGCCGCCAGATGGGGCATCAAGTAGCTTGAAAGAACAATGGGACAATGGCTTAGGTAGAATTGAATGTGCCTCTAACAGTCGATCCTGAAAGCTGGTTGGCAGCTGATGCTGCAAACTAATTGGTTAGGTCGGCACTCCGGAATAGAAGAGGTGCGGGTTCGAATCCCGCCCATTTTTCCTTTCTCTCAATTTGTTCTTTACTAAATAAGTTATGCATGTCATTACATAGGGTATCATTAGACCCACAGTCATTTTTGCTCTCCTACAATGCTGACAGTTTTACAGTGTGTTAGAACTTAAGCTTTTATTTTAAATAACTACCTTAAGCTCAACCTAAAACGAACTTAACTATCAAATAGACGGTAGGTGCCGTACTTACCATTTTCCAGTCCTTCATGACGTTCAGAGACACCTTGATGTAGTTTGAGCTGATACATCTCTTCGACTTGCCAAAACAAAAGCATTCTGTGCAACCTTCGTCATTGTCTGGTTGTAAATTAAAGGTGCTTTCATGACAAATGCTGCATTGTGGACCTACAACGTTCTTTTTGCAGAAACATTGTGCTGTCACCTAAAAAATTATTCATTAAAAGCATATCTTTCCTGAACTCTTAAGTCAAATGAAGAAGACGTGAAATTAATTATTGGAGGCTTATAGTATTTTGATTCTTGCTAATCAATAGCTTTTATGTTATATACACATTTACTGTAAAATCTATTTATTTTTTTTTTGCAAAAATCATATTATAAGTGTATTTCACACCCAAAAATTTTATGCATAAATGATTTTGGAATTCTAACCTTGTCACAAATTTCGGATGTTGTTCCCATTTCGTTACATTCACATGATTCACAATACGGGAAGGAGTAGAACCCGGGTCTGCAGTTGTCACATGTGCGACCGAAAATATTTTCTTGACATCTGAAATAAAAAATATAATAATTGGTCTTTATTAGGGCGTAGTTTAGAAATAGTTATTCCACTTAACCCTTTTAAAACAGAAAAATTGACAATTTCCATATACAATGAGTCTGGTGGTATAGCAATTACAACAAAAGGTAACTCATCGCAAGCATACAGTCAAACTTTTTAAAGACAGCTGTTTTTCACACAAACTCAATATACATGATGTTTTCAAAGTTGAGTCATTCATTTTAACGGCTGATATACCAAAAATCACCTATAGACGGTGTTCCTTAATGATATGCGAATATTTAAGGGTGTGAATCTACAGGAAAAATTAATGTTAGTTTGCTTTATAAACTATGGTCCAAAAATGTTTCCTTACAAAAACTGAAGTTTTAGGAAAAACATGGAAATTAATTAATATTTTCAGTGCCGCTTCCGGTATTTCACTGTTATTTAGTACGTAGTGAAACTTAATAAAGTTGCATATTTTTCAATGCAAAAATAATTTTTAGGCTTAACAGTGGGGTGCGTACGGGAATTGACTTCGATGTTTTTTAAGGAAAAAATGGTACGCCAATGGTTTTTTGCCAAATAAGAATTATTTTTGAATTCCCCGTTCAATTTAAAACAAATGATCTCTCTTAAATTGTTATCAGTCAGACTAGGTTAAGTCATTTTTGTCAAAAATGAGTTTAATATATTAAGCTTCTGATAATATTGTGAGTTTTCATTTGCTACATGTAGCGTCCATCTATTTGTAATAATAAGGAAGTTACGACTTTTTAACTCATGTCAAGTCGCATACAATTCAATGAAAGAACAATATTTCAAATACAATTATCTCAAAACTGCTTATTTCGACTCACCCAGTCTGGCTCTGTGATACAGATATACTTTCATTTGTCTGATTATTTTGTGCGAAAAAATGGCCCACGTTTACGAAAACAATGAACTAGTGAACATAATACTAACATACGCAGAGTGCCAGTAAAATGCAGCCGCAGCATGTATGCTGAAAGGTTTCCTTTATGAAATCATCCGACGCCACGCAGAAGAAAATCCGCATGATGTAAAAATAACTCACTCACTCAATATAAATTTTCATTAAATGTTTGGGCTGGCGTGGTGAATGTACTCGTAATGCTTATTGGACGCTCCTTTTTTGCATCTCGACTGACCGGTGAAATTTATTTAGATTTTTTTCGATACAATCTGCCACAATTATTAGATGTTTCTCTAAATGTGAGACAGAAGATTTCATTCCTACGTGATTGGGCTCCAACCCTTTTTAGACGAGAAGTTCATGAACATTTAAATAATGAGTGTCCGAATAGATGGATAGAGCGCAATGGACCCATTTCTTGACCTGCTCGCTCCCCGGATTTGACGCCTTGCGATTGTTTTCTGTGGCGTTATGTGAAAGAGTTGGCAGTAAATACTCTGGTAGAACTTTTACAGCGCACTCGCCAAACATGATTTTGCGTTAATCGAAGGGACAATTTTGAACAGTTTTTGTAAAAACGGTATCCATTTAACTTGATAATGATTTTTTTAAATAATTTTTAATAATGTAAGACAACTCTCTTATTATGCAACTTTTGTGTAGGCGATTCGTCATCTGTGAAGGACTTCTGGCAGAGGGTTATACAATTTAAAACTATTCCTAAGGATGCACCACCATAACTTCTCCAGAGGTTGAATTTTTGTTTGTGTACCGCGCTTAAATTCGAGAAGGACTCTAACCTTCTACTGCAGTATCTCCTATTCTAAAGTATTATTTTATTATCCGCTATGCTCTATATGCAACAATTATAATTCCACAGCAGACAGTTCTGACATTAATTTTGATTGTATCAGTAAAATCTTGCCAAAGTGCAGGTACTATTACAATAGCTAAGTTTTTCATGTTCGCGGATTAGTCTGCTGGGCAATTATGTATAAATAATTAGGTAAATAGAGAAGGCCCTCAACTTACGGACACTCTCCGGTGAGCAAATTGCATTGCCTGGTGTTATTGGCCACCCCCAATGGATGACACCTGCACTCTTCACATCCATTGAATGGATCGAAACCATAGGTCAGTGGCGCGCATTGGTCACACTTTTCACCAACCACATGCGGAGGACAGATACACTCTCCAGTGTTGGGCTCACAGTAAGCCGTGGACGGGCAGTTGCAAGGCTTACACTCGGGGAAGCCATAGTAGCCTGTCTTGCAAGCCTCGCATCTTCGACCGATGATGTTCTCCTTGCATTTGCATTGACCTCCGAACTTTTCGCAGACGAAGCTGTCAGAGCCTGCAAAGTCGCATTCGCAAGGCAGAGCGCCGTTCTTGTGGTTGGTGGTTATGGAGAAGATGGCGTCTCTGCAGAAACCTGAAATGAAAGTGATGATATCAGAAAAAAATGGCGTCAAGTGGCTCGCTCTGCACTTCCTAAGCAACGCCGTCATCGTACAGACAAATTAAACATTAAACAGTTCTATATTAGTCCATAAAAATTTGGTAGTTACCGACCATGTGGCAACGTTGTCGCTTTCCACATCCGCGCATATTTCATTTCGTGCAAGGTCCGTATGTTTTTTGCTCTTCAGTACGGATACATATAATTAATTAACTAACTAACTTATCTATCAAAAAATACCTGCTCCTGGTATATACGCAAAGTGTGAGAAACATCGTACCCAATCTTCTGGAGAAATAACCATACAGGAGATAACACCAGCAAGTACTTACAGAAACGTTAGCAGCTCTTCGGAGGACGAACCAAGCATTTTCGGTCATATTTCTTTAACCTCTCTCGAAATTGTGTCACAAAAGTCACATTTTTGTCAAGATATATCAACTTTCAACCTGGCCTATACATAGGGTGTTTGCCGATTTGACTAGACGAAAAAAGAAGGATGAACAAGAGCAACAAGAAGATAAAGATGAAAGTTATTTATTCAAGAATAATGCAAATATTTCTATAAAGCATTGGTTCCCAAAGTGGTCTATATCGACCCCTAGGGGTCTATGACAACCTGCAAGGGGTCTACGTCAGCGAAAAAAAATTTGGGGGTCCATGAAATGAATATGGGGTCCACGATAGTGGATCTCAACACATACACTGATAGTACCTATTTACTTATATCATACTATCTTATAATATCAAAACATATACATTATTTATAAAAGTACCTATGAAGTAAAAAAAAATATTATATACATATGTTTATAAAATTGTGTAAGTTGTAGGATGTTGGTATTCGCTTTGTGGTCGCAATACATTTTGAACTTGTAAAAACCTGAGAGTCGCACTCTCAGAGCTTCGCTACCTTGCACAGACTTGTTCAATTCGTCACTCTATAAATACGAATGTGGGACAAATACGTTTATTCGTTTCCTGAATCTTGAAAAGGAAAGTGCTAAGAAAATATTTTAAAAAATATATACAGATAGTATATCACACAAATTATAGTGAGTCAGTGTTATTTTGTTTGAGAGTGCTGGAGAAAAGTAAGTACATGATTTTTTATTAAATTTTAGTTTTTTACTCGTAGTTAGCAACGATAGATAAATTACGCCAATCATGACTTTAGTTATTAGTAGTTAAATATTCAATCATGCAAAATTACACGAGTACTCCTCAATAGTTTATTTTTGAAAGTTTTAGCCATCGGTAATATAATTACAGTGCAATCTCCGTAATTCGAGCTAATTGTTGCAAGAAGATGTTCGAATTATGGAATGTACAGCTGCTGGATTTTCTGTCTTTTTTAAATAATTTAATTTTGCCCACAGATAATTGATGCCATGTCCGAATCTAAAAAGAAATGTAGACAGTACAGTGTTGATTATTTGAAATTTGGCTTCATTCCATCATTGCCGGACAAACAATCGCCTATGTGCCTTTTATGCAACAAAGTTTTGGGCAATGACGCTATGAAACCATCTAAACTGCAAGATCATCTGAGAAGATGCCACCCTGATAAAACAGAGAAAGATTTGAAATACTTTCAAACACTCAAAGGTAAATTTCACTGGACAGAATGTTCGCTTCGACGTCACAAAGAAATGATGATGGTTTGCGGGCGTCTTACAATATCTCGTTACTTATAGCAAAATCCGGAAAACCGCATACTATCGGAGAGAAGTTAATTTTGCCAGCCGTTGAAGAGGTTTTAAAAACTGTTTTACACAAACTTGCATCTGATATCATTAAAAGAATTCCCTTAAGCAACAATACTGTTGAAATACGTATTGATGAAATGAGTTCTGATATTGAAAGCTTCTTATATAATTATTTGCAAACGACCCATTTCTCTATACAACTGGACGAGTCAACTTTACCTGATAATGCAGCATTATTATTGGCATATGTTCGTTTTATTATGAATCAAGAAATCTACGAAGAACTGCTCTTCGCAAGAACTTTGATAACCGACACTAAAGATGAATCAATATTTCACGTTTTGAAGGGTTACTTCATTGAAAAAGCAATTCCTTTATCAAATATAATATCAGTAGCTACAGATGGAGCACCTGCCATGGTTGGACGTTATCGTGGATTTATAAGCTATTTAAAACAAAATGTGTCAGGGGTGTTAGCAATACATTGCGTCATCCATCGACAACATTTAGTTGCTAAAAATTTGAGTGTTAGATTGCATGAATCACTTCATTTAGTCATTGATGCAGTAAACCGAATCCGAACCAACGCATTGAATACGCAGTTATTTGCGCAGTTGTGTGAAGAAAATGACGAACACTTTCATCAATTACTCCTTTACACTGAAGTACTCTGGCTGTCGAAAGGCTTCTGTTTGAAAAGATTTTTTGTAATTTTTGAGACTATTTTAGAATTTCTGGATACTAAAGATAACATTTTAAAAGAAAATTTAATGAAGAGGAAACCAGACATCGCCTATTTAACAGATTTGTTTACAAAATTTAATATGGTTAATTTGCAATTACAAGGCGACAGTTTAAATTTGATTAAAACAATGTCCATCTTATCAGCGTTTCTTGCCAGAGTTAAATTAATGAAGCAAAATATTGGACGGGGCGAATTTTCTCAGTTCCCCAATTTGTCACAGACAAGCTGCCAGGAAGACGACGTTTCAACTTACGTTCAACATTTAAATGCCCTCTATTCAGATTTTGAATCTAGGTTTGAGGATATTTTGACTATGGTAATACCACCGTGGATAATTAATCCATATGGTGACATAGAAGAAACGAATGTCATAATACAAGAGGAACTGACTGAACTAAGTACAAACGAAGAACTTGAGGTTCAGTTTGAAAACGCATATCAGCAATTCTGGCTGCAAAACAACATACCCGTTACTTATCCCGTATTATAGTATAGTATATATATATAGTATAGTATATAGCGAGGAAATTTTTAATTTCCTTTCCCTCGTTATACCTAGTGGAAAGGGGGTTCAGCGCTGTTACCAATCTCCTAACGAAAAAAAGAAACAGACTGGACATCATTAGCCGAGGAGATTTAAGATTAACACTTACAAAACTGACGCCAAATGTTGATAATTTATTATTAAAGCATCAGGTTCACCCTTCTCACAAAAAATATTGACTTATTGCTTATGTTATTTTATTTATAGTTTATTTTATGTTTATTGGTGTCTGACTAATAAATGCCCGCATTGGGAATAAGTGCCCGCAATGATTTTTTTAAAGAACCCCCCTTTATAGAAAATATATTTTTTTTAAATTATTCTGAAAATTCAAGGATAAGTACACACTAAAATTCGTTAATTTTTTGCCTATTTTTAGATAACTTAAACGTATAAAAAGCGGAATTTAATCAAACTAACAGTGAAATTATTGTAGAACATACGTTTATGTTATAATTAATAAACGAACTCGCTTATTGTACTATTTTAAGTAAAACACCTTTTTTTTATTATTTTTCACTTTTTTTTTATTTTATTCCTCTTATTTTTTTTCAATACGGGCACTTATTCCCAATGCGGGCACTCATTGGTCAGACACCTGTTTATTTAATGTTACGTATATTTTACATAACAGATACAAAATTTTAATTTGAGTAGTTTTAATTTAAATTCAATTAATAAATGTATAAATTAACATGTATTTTTACTTTAAGTTTTTAACACTAAACTTCACTACAGTTAGAAATTTACAGGAAATAAATATCAGGTAAGTAGGGGGTCTACCCAACACGGAAAAACATGGCAAGGGGTCTACGACACAAAAAAGTTTGGGGAACTCTGCTATAGAGCAAGAAGTACAGTACCTAAAGAAGCTATTAGAAACAAAGAATGAAATAATTTTAGATAAAGAGAGGTATATCAATCAATTAGTTAATGAGAACAGACGTTTATAGGAGCATTATGAATTAGCAGTATAGTGGATAAAGAAACCATAATCACTTCTTTGGGTAAAATAAATGAAAGAGTTGAAAAAATAGAAGCTACTACCTCATACACCCATTGTAATGATGAAATTAAATCATATAGTGGGGGCTGTAAAAGAGTCAAAAAAGCAGAGATAAAATTAATAATACACAAAAGTTGATGATAAAAAGTACGGACAAATCAAACTCTAATGTGTTGGAAGATTTGAAGAAGAGCATTGATCCAGCTAAGTCAAATATCTGTGTGAACTATGTGAAGAGGGTGAATAATGGTGTCATTCTTAGCTGCAAAAATGAAGCATCATTGTCTAAGCTGATGGTGAGTATACAGGGAGAACTCGGTGCGAAATTCACTCTCAATGAGATCAAGAAATATCGCCCACGCGTGGTGATAAATAATGTAGAAAGCGCCTACACAAAATCTGAGGGATTAATCGAGAAGATTTTGTCCCAGAATGAATTTGGTATTCTCATCAGTGATGATATAAAAACTGTAACCACTTTCAGATGTTCCGAATTTACTAAATGTTGTCATTGAGGTTAGCCCAAAATTTAGAAAAACATTGCTAGATAGAGGTCATATACAGGGTGTTTCAGTTTATTGTTGCATAACTTTAAGATTCGATAGCACTTATAAAATTAATGCATAAAGTCTATATAAACATGGGTAAAAAATGCGTGGCTTCCGAAATACAGGGTGTTTAAATTTACTTTTTAAAATAGTTTTTTTTAAATATTATATTTCTACTGTACCTGTAGTGTATTAAAATGACCGAAAAATTTTTCTTCGTGCAATTTTTTGCTTTTTGAATAAAAAAACTGCACTTTTCTGCATAAAAAAGCTCTCCTGTGAGTTTTCGTTATAGTTAGCCGTTTTTGAGATATTTCGATTTTTAAGGTTCGATGCATTTTTAATTATTTATGGGAAAATAAATTTTTTTTTTACATTTTCGATTTGGGCATTACAAGTGATTAGGATGATCGTTCAGATT